CCCCCCATTCCCACCTCCTCCAAGGCAAGGTCTCCCCTGGAGAGTCAGCCCAGCCTGGTAGATTTAGTTGAGGCAGGTCCAGTCCCCTCCTCCCTGCATCAAGGCTGAGCAAAGTGTCTCAGCATAGGCCCTAGGTTCCAAAAAGCCAGCTCATGCACCTAGGACAGGTCCTGGTCTCACTGCCTGGGGGCCTCCTAAACAGTTCAAGCTTATCAACTGTCTCACTTATCCAGAGGGCCTGGTCCAGATCCATGGGGGCTCCTCAGTTATTGGTTCACAGTTTATATGTTTCCGCTAGTTTGGCTATTTGTCCATGTGCTTTTTCCAATCATGGTCTTGATATCTCTTGCTCGTATAGTCCCTATTCTCTCTTGCCAGTTGGACTCCTGGAGCTTCACCTGGGCTTTGGCCGTGGATCTCTGCTTCTGCTTCCACAAGTCACTGGATGAGAGTTCTATCATGACAGTTAGGGTGTTTGGCCATCCCATAACCAGAATAGGTCAGCTAAGGCACTCTCTTGACCATTGCCAGTAGTCTACAGTGGAGGTATCTTTCTGGATTTCTGGGAACCTCTCTAGCACTCTGCTTCTTCCTGTTCCCATGGAGTCTTCATTTATCATGGTATCTCTTTCCTTGTTTTTGCACTCTGTTCCTGATAGACCAATTACCCCTGAAGAAATAGAAATAGTCATTAAAAGTCTCCCAACCAAAAAAAGCCCAGGACCAGATGGTTTCAACACAGAATTCTACCAGATCTTCAAAGAAGAGTTAATACCAATACTCTTTAAATTGTTCCACACAATAGAAACAGAAGGAAGGTTACCAAACTCCTTCTATGAGCCTACAATTACCCTGATTCACAAGCCAAACAAAGATGCAACAAAGAAAGAGAACTACAGACTAATCTCCCTCATGAACATTGATGCAAAATTACTCAATAAAATACTGGCAAACAGACTCCAAGAACACATCAAAACAATTGTTTATAGTTTTTATAATGAGAGGATGTTCAAGCTTCTCAAAATTTACTGCATTTATTGAAGTTTTTGTAATTTATTATTGGAGGGGCATATATGACATAAACTGTGAGTGGGTTGGTTTGTGGACAACTCTGTAGAGTTGGTTCTCTCCTTCTAATATGACATGTGTTCCAGGGATCAAATTCAGGTCATCAGGCTTGAGCAACAAGTGCCCTCACCTGCTGAGACGCCTGACCAGACCACTAATTTATTTGCTTGTTTTTGTTGCTATTTTTGTTTTTGTCTTTCATTCTATTGATCAATTATATCATGATTTTTATTTGCATATTTTGAACCACCCTTGCATCTTTTTTTTCCATTTAATTGGGATAAACTATCTTTTCAATGTGTTGTATTTGGTTTACTATGTTCTGTATTAAGGATATTTCCATCTATTCATTGGGATATTCATTTATCTGTAAATTTTTGGTTTTGTTATTTCCTTGTTTGGTTTGGGTATCAAGATAATATTGGCTCCACAGAATGAAATTGGAAAAACTTCTTCCTTTTCAGTTTGAATAATTTTAGAAAGTTTGCTATTAGCTCTTCTGTAAATGCTTGGTAGAATTCACCAATGAAACCACTGGTCATGAGCTTTTCTTTGATGAGAGGCCATTCCTTGTCAATTCCTTAATGTTAGCTGTTATTGACCTGTTCAGATTTCTATTTATTATGCAGTATTGGGTAGCCATCACTCATTTTTTTTTGTAGGATATCAATGTTGCCATATAGTTGCTTACCGTTAATGACAATTGATCTTTGAATTTCTGATGTGAGTGCTGAGAAACAAACTCAGGTCGTCTGCAAGAGCAGTAAGTGCTCATGACCACTGAGCTACCTCTCCTGCCCAAGCTTTTCAATTTTTAAAAATTCAAAGATGTTTTTAGTTGTGTCACCCAAATGATCTGTTCTGGTGAATGTTTCATGTAGTGACTTTTCCTTGTCAGTATTCATTCTTGGAGTTGCTGTGATGAGTCTTTCTCTGTCCTACCAGCCAGCTCCCAAATCATGACCTGGAGATTTATTATTAATTATGAAAGCTTAGGCAATAGCTCAGCTTTTTCTAACTAGCTCTTATGACTTAACCTGTATTTTTTTCTTTTTCTTTTTCTTTTTCTTTTTCTTTTTCCTTTTCTTTTTTCTTGGTATTTTGAGACAGGGTTTCTCTGTGTAGTTTTGGTGTCTGACCTGGATCTCGCTCTATAGACCAGGCTAACCTTGAACCCACAGAGATCTGCTGTCTCTGCCTCCTGAGTGCTGGGATTACAGGGTGTGCCACCGCCACCCAGCACCTTAACCCATATCCTTTAATCTATGTTCTTTTTTGTGGCTCAGTTACCTTTACTTTATAATGCCCAGGCTGCTTGTTCTTCATCCTGATGTCTCTGACCTTCTTCTTCCCAATAGTCTCTATACCTTGAAATCTTGCTTAACTGTTGGCTGTTCAGCTTTTTATTAAACCAATCAGAGTGATATATCTTTACACAGTGTACAAAAAGTTTATTCCACAACATTTCTCCCTTTTGTCTAAACAAAAAGAGAAGGATTTGAGCTTTAACATAGTAAAAGTATATACAATAAGAACAATTACCAAGTAAGGCTTACATTTACAATATCCAGTCCATTAATGGTTGGCAAATTTAGAGAAAATGCTCCATTATTTATCTTATCTTTGTGAGTCCAAAGTTTCAGATTTAATTTACCTTTTATCATAATTAAGGAAAACTATAATTACCTAGTCTTCAACTCCATCAAATACCCCAAGGGATATAATATTACTTGACTAAACAGGAAGTGTGGAGCAAAAAATTCCAAAACTATAGAAATGGCAATAAAATTTGGTTGCTTGGACAGTCACCCCAAGGTTCCTCTGCAACATTGGAGCATTCATCTTCAGCCTACAGTCCTGCAATATCTGACAGACTTTTCTGTGAAGCAGGAATTTTGAAGGACTGTCCCAACTTGTTTTGGCAAAGTTCAGACGTCACTTTTCTGTGTGTCCTGGAGAATGTCTGGCCGACTTATCTATGAAGCAGGAATTTTGAAGGACTATCCCATCTTATTTTGGAAAAGTTTGACACTCTTTTTCCTTTGTGTCCTGACTGTCAGCAGTCAAGACAAGAGCAGTTTCTTGGCCAAATGGCTAGTTTTGCCACATTGAAAGCAAATTCCACATTCAGTTTCTTCAATGCCCATAATCTTCTCTGAAGTAAATTGGTGCTTCAAGGAACAGACATGTCTCATTGTCATGAAAAGCCCCATGTTAACCAAACGTTTAAATGTCCATTCTGTAGAAGTTTGAAGTGTTTGAAGACCATCTATCTATCTAAAATATACTTCTGTTTGACCTTGAAAATGTACCTAACATGACTGCAAGTTTGTTATATGTGACTAATTACTAACCTGTATTTCTTTATTATCCTAAATAGTTTATAATAATAACTTTCAAGGACTAAAAATTTGCATTACATTGTTAAATGAGTTGCATAGGTATAATAACTTAAACAAGAGTAGAAATATATACAGTATGTTCTAACAAAAATAGAATTATTTAAATTTGTATCAGTATACAAAAATCCATATCAATGTAAAATACTTGATACTAGTGATTGTTCAAAAGTAGACTTAACAATCCACCCTTTTATCTCATAATTTTTATACTATACCCCCCACCTTTTTCTCTCAGAAAAAGATCCCTAAATCTAATCTCCTTTGTTCATTTTTTTCTGACCATGACCAATAACAATTTGTACTCAACCCCCTAAAACAACAAGCATCCATAAGCCACCACATGACCAAAAAACCACCCACCCCACTTCTTGGGAATGTGGGCATTGTGTTCTCTAGAAAGCTTTCTTATGTCTTGGGGGCACTGCCATCTTAAATTTAGTTCAATCCACTTAAGGACAAGTATAAGGATTTGAGTCACATAGAATTAGGCTCACAATGTGCATCTGCCTCCTACCCTTTGTGGCTGAGGGTAAGCTATTCATTCATCCTAAACTGTGCTTTTCACATTTATAGAGTGGGTAGAATTTGCCATCCTGGGAAATTCATGAGAAAATATGTGTAAGCATCATCCCTGGCCAAAAACATGCTCAACAAATATTGCTTAACAGAATTAATATATTAATCAAGCTTATTTTAGGTTTAAATGTACAGCACTTGGTGTTTATTTACGGCTGCTCTCTTCCATGTCCCATTCTACCTTAGGGCATTTATTTCTTTGCATTCTTGTCTCTCTACTTTCATTTCAATCTGCAGTTTACACTGAGCCTCATTTTTTTTTTCATTTTACTTTCTCAGTTCTGCTCATTGGCCTCATTTCTTAAAGTAAAAGCTTGAGACTTAGATAAACTGAGAAACCTTTCTCAAATAATCCTGCTAATGGGTACTATAGCCAGCACCTCAGTCTAATTCTCATTGGACAACTTAAAGAAGATGACAATTCACTTATATGTAATTACTGTTTTGATAGCAGTGGTGTTATGTTTGGGCCTGCCTAGCTTGAAACTTGGTATACAAATCAGGCATCTGACTGTGGCAATCTTCCTGCCTCTGCTTCCCAGGTTCAGGGATTACAGGCATGCTCTACCACATCTAGTTTCATGACTTTTTCAATGTCAGAAAAAGTCAGACCTGAATACTCACAGATACATACATATAGATCCCCAGATGTGTAGACAATTCATTGGAGAAATAATCCAACCAATGTTCTGCTTTGCAAGCCATGTGTTGGCATTTATATAGTCATTGAGATGATATGCATAAACATTACGTCTGTTTTACCCACAGCCACAATATGGCATGGTGCCATTTTTTCAAAAACACAAAAATGGCTTAATTCTCACAAAAGTGCTTAGAGGAACCTGTGTGCCAATTATTATGTGACAAATATGCCCTCTCCAGGATCAAGCTGGAATTACATCTGCACAGTAGTGTGTCTGGCCTGTAAACAGGAGTTCGACTTCCTGCAATACTATACTATACTGTATTGTACTGTACTGTACTATTCTATCCTGTCCTATCCTGTCCTATCCTATCCTATCCTATCCTATCCTATCCTATCCTATCCTATCCTATCCTATCCTATCCTATCCTATCCTATGCTATGCTATGCTATGCTATGCTATGCTATGCTATGCTATGCTATGCTATGCTCTCCTTTAGGTCAGGATGAAGGGGTAATTATTTGTCCTTAAGTAAATGCATAGTAATGGCCACAGAGGTGAAGTAAAACACAAGATTACCATGCTATCTCTTCCTGCATTTGGGGAACATGACTACCACAACAGAGAACAAGAGCCCATGTGATAATATGACCACATACTTTTTGTGAATGACTACATGAATTTACTGACCGTTTCATGTCATGTACACTTTTCCCATATATGGATCGAAAAGGCATTGGTAAACAGAAAATAAAAACATTCAGTTATTCAGATTAGCTATTGATTTCTTAGTTAAATTACTTATTTGTGTGAAAATTTAGGTTTTCACACTTAGAACACTGAGTATGTGTCAATATTCTTTTTAAACATAAATTCACACTATGAATACATGTTGCCGCAATTATTAAATTATGATGGGGACAGTTACACAGGGTTACAGTTTGGTAATTGAGTCATTACTAGGATTGCATAGTAATTGTGACAAAATGAAGAGCAGCATAGAATGAATAAGATGACTTCTGCAATGGCCTATTACTGCCTTCTGACCTAAAGAGCTGAGAAACTTGAGCCAGTGTAATTGAAGGTCATCCTCCCCTTCCCTTTCTTTCCCTTCTTCCTGTTTCTTCTCCTCCTCCCTCCCTTCTGCTTCTCTTTCCTTCCTCCTTCTCTCTGTCTTCTTTCTCTTTGATGTAAAAGGTATATTAATTAGGCCATGGTGTCTTAAGCATTTTACCGGAAGTTTTGTAGACTAGTAAATGTTTTATTAAACAAGGATTCCTCTCAATACTGTAACACAAAAACTTTACAAACTCAGAACTGAAGTAAGTTATGCCATGTGGGAATTTCCTGGCTCCAGTCTACAAAAAAAAGTATAAGAACTGACAGTGCATCATTGCAATAAAAAATAAATAAATAAATAAATAAATGCCCGTTATTATTATTTTATTGTTGTTGCTTCAATAGTCAGTAAATAAAAGATTTCAGAAGAACTTTGTGCCAATTTTCACATTAAATAGTTGTTTCTAAAACTTTTAAGAACTCACATTGATCTTTTCACCACCCCCATAACTTATCCTAATAATGTGAAATTCACTATGACAAAATAAAAGCCAGATCTGACTAACAGACACAGAGATTCTATATTCTCTTGTGTTGTGATATGATAGGTTTCTAGAATTCAAGAAGTGCATTCAGCATACTTGCAACCTTGCCTGAAATTTCATCAGTAGAGATTTACTGCTTAGGGTGTGGCTTTTGTTTCTGGAAGGCCATTAAAGGGATTTGGCAGGAAAGGCTTATTGCCCTTTTCAGTCACCACGTAGGATAATAGTTATTGTTCCGAAGCTGCTTGTTAGGTTCTAGGTACTTCATTAGATGTTCTTCAAATGTGACCTATTGCCTTCACAGTGACTCTGCTTTGGAGATGCCAGTTTTACCATTGTACAGATACAAAAATTTAGGCAAACAGGAACTAAATTCTTCTCAAATTATAAGAAAGAGAATCTAGAACCACATAGAAATGCTTTTTTCAAAGTTTTTACCAATTCCTGTGTAGGCTGTTCTCTAGGGAATGTACCCAAAACATCCCAATGAGAGATGCTCATGAAAAGCGTTGGTAGAGTTAGGAGTTAGAGACAATTTCACCAGCCCCATGGTTTCACCCAGGATCAGTACTGTCAGCTGTCCAGTTCTTGCCTAGATGAATAAGTGTTCTCCACTGTTGACATCTGTGTATATGACATTTAATGATGCTTTACACCCATCTTGCAGGTATTGTTTGGTGACAAAATGTTCTCCACTCACACATTGCTTGAACATTTCATTGCCACCAAAGTGTGCAACCGGAAGATATTCCAGCCTATATGCAGCAAGTTAATGTTTTCTCTAAGTGGATTTGATCGCCCAAACTTAAACATGGTAGGTCTAAATAATCTCTTCCTGGAAGCCAATGATTTTGTTGTATAAGGAATGAGAGGTGACTTTGGACTTTATGGAAGGTATATTAGATGGCCTCCTTTTTGTCCTTTGGGATGTAATTAGTATTTTCCTTGTTCCAATCCGGCTTGAAAGCTATCACCTATTTAAAAAAAAAAACTGAGAAAATGGCTTTGCTGACAGAGCTTCTAGTTATGACTGTAGCTAAAATCCCACCATTAAAAATCTCTTTATTTCCGTTACAATTTGGGCTATTTCAGACCCTCTCAAGAATCTCAGAGAGTGGTTCTAGAATCTGTATTTTGTATTTGTTTTAAATAAATTTTCCATATCCATGGGTGATTTGGAAATCCATATCTTGTGAATCACCCCTAGTTGAAAGTGACAGGGATTTGGCTTTTCAGTGACAGCTACAAACTCAGCATTCAAGGGTGCTGAGAGGGGTGGTTATTGGGGTTCTTTCCTCTAGTCCTAGCACAACTGGACTCCTTTCCTTTAAAATTGTAACTAGATAACTTGAGGGACAGCGAGGGGAAAGAATGATCAGGAGCTGCTCATTTCCCAGCCCGACATGGACAATGTTTGAAACCAGAGGTGGCACAAAACTGAAGATGGCCTCCGTCTGTCTCACAGACTTCTGCCAAGAGCCTGGTCTTCCACTGCGTTTTAAATAACAGGTTCTCACTAAGCCACTCAGGTTGGACTTGAACTCATGATGCAGCCCAGACGAGCCTTGAATTCATGTTACTCCTGCCTCAGCCTTCTGAATATTTGGGATTAAAAGGCTGATGGCCAGGCTCAAGACTTTTATAAAAGGCTTGTTTTATGCAAAGCATGCCTGAACCACATGTAGATGAAAATATGTCACAATGGCAGAGCTAAGCAAATTCGCCCAAGTGTTTGAAAAAATACTTAAAGCAATATACATGACAATAGAGGCTCTCTTTAGCCAAATCTGTTTTTGACTGGCAGCTAAGGACTGGATTATGGGATATTATAACATCTGGAAGAACAGCTACAGTGTGAAGCACAGCCAGAGGCACACTGCAGCTTTTATGAAACTTTCAATAACTATTACTAATAACACAAATGTTCTGAGCTCAATCCATGAGATTTTGACCTTTTTTTTTTCAGTAGTCTTGTATTGATCTTGAATGTAATTTTGAAAGGTGTTAAAATGTTTTTGATGCTCAATTTGTAGAAAAATAATTCTTATATTTAAAAATGAACTTTAAAATGTGAAACAAAGTATCTTATCCAGAATATATATATTAGAGAAATTGTATCCTACAATCATTCAAAGGCCCCATAGGAGATTTTTTTTATCTAGAAATGAATGGAAATATGTAGATCTATTTCCAATTATTTTTGTCGTAAGCTTTTTCTTAAATTTATTTTTTCAGATTTATTTATTTTCGTCTTATGTGTATGTTTGTATATCATGTGCATGCTGTACTTGCAGAGGCCAAAAGAGGGGATCAGATCCCCTGGAACTGGCATTACAGTTTTGTGAGCTGCCATGTGGGTGCTGGGAATCAAACCCAGGTCCTCTGCAAGACCAGTCACTGCTCTTAACCACTGAACCATTTCTCCAGACTCTCAAAGTTTTATCTTAATGTCCTTTTTTTAAATATACAAAGTAGGGAATAGGGTGACTAAAGTTTTTAACCCCTCAACTGTGTGAGGTGAGTCCAGAAAGAAGAATTACATAGCTTTCTGCACTCAACCAGTCAGAGGTCCTCTGTGGGCTGAAGGGAATCATTATCCGGGACAGAAGACAAAGCTGTGGGAGAATGTTCTTAAAGATGGGCTTCTTTGGTTAATTGTCCACAAAGATACAAAATACGTTCCCCTAAAGACAGTAGCTGTTATTATAAATAGAAAGCTGAAATGTTCTTCAAATGTCTGTGTATGTGTTATGAGTAGCCTCCAGATGAGAAATGATCTCTTTACAGAGTCGCTTGGATGTTTATATGGCACAAAACCATGCAGGAACATCTGTTCAGAACATGCTGCACTGGGCACAGGTACATGTTCTCTCTCCCTGACTGACATATGCAAAGGTCTGCAAAATCCTTGAGGGGCACTCCCAGAGAACTCCAAGCAGGGCGTGCAGGTACCTGCCTATCATGGTGATGCTTCTAGGATCAACACCAATTCCTTCTTTTGATTTCCTTTGCTCCCATCTGTTCCCCTTGTCTTCAGTGCCTGGGCTGGGAGCCTGCTTCCCTCATATTCTGAATAAGTTCTCATTCTTAGGTTCCTCCCTCAGCCTGTTTGGGAAAGGCTTTTATTTCCTCTTCTGGGAAATCATTAGTTTTGATAAAACTTTATGTAAAATGATACAGCCTGTTCCAGAAAGACCTGTTCATCTTCCAGTGAGCCCAGGGAGCATTTCAGCTTGCAGAAAGAACACTTTATTTTGAACAGAGATAATTTTAGGGAGGGATTAAAATAGTTGAGCAGTTTGTGGGTTTGCCCACACTTACATTTTGTTTAATAAGATTATTCTATATCCAGTAAGCTCAAAGATAAATAAAATTCAATTAAGTTTTACCAGTTTTTGAGCCAACATGTGCATGTATGGTGTTAATTTTTTATGTAACTTTGCCTGTGTTACTGATCAGTCACTTCAGCCCCATCCATTTAAAAGAATTGAGCAAAATAAGCATAATCTCATCTATCTGTGTATGAGAGAAAATGAGTTAACGAGAGAGTCATTTGCATCTTAACATGTATACTAATATCTTGAAACCTGCTGTAAGCTGGAAATGAGAATCTGTTCAAAGAGTAGAAAAAACACTAACAGTTTCTAGAAAGGTTGGATTTCTCACTTCTGGGTAGACAAACTTCATGTTCCTATGGATAAAGTCTGGTCTAAGCATGGGACCGGCTACTGATGAGGACATGGGTAGAACCTGTCATGGTCCTGATCTCCATATTATTTCTTTCATCTCACTGATTCACATGAAAATTTTTCAGTGAAGGCACTTATATCTCCATTCTACAAATGTTACAGTTGATGCCTTATGCATTTACACTTAAACTCTTTCTTTTTTGATAGAAATGAGGGAACAATGGGGATACAACATTTGTTCATAATATAGACAGACAGCTAGGGCAAGGGTGCTGCTGTTTATCTAATTATAGTACTGCTTGGATTTCTCTACTGCAACACTTATACTCAAAAAGCTTTAGAATCTGAAACAGGGTAGATTGGGGATTTTCAGATGCTCAATATATGAAATCCATGCAAATATTACAAAATAAATAATATTTTTTAAACTCTGAAATCAAGAGCACAGCTGGTCTCAAGGGTTTCAAACAAAACATACTTGATTTGTAGTGAGGCTGGTGAAATGTGCCCTGTTACATAATACCAAGGACTGAATGCTTTATACACATCTTCCTACTTAATCTTATAGTCCATTGAGAAGAACACTATCATTATTCACACATCACAAATATCTTGTCCTGCATATCAGATTGAGTCATCACTCAAGCCTGGATATAAAACAGTCTTGTTAGACACTAGACTTCAGATTCTAAATAATATGTTCTGTTGCCTCTCACAGCTTAAAATGCATGGGATTTTATTATCACACACACACACACACACACACACAATCGTCTTACTTTATAACATTTTATACATTTCATAACATTATATATGAAATACATAATGTATATAACATATAATATATAATGTTACATATATAATGTTATGGAAGTAAAGAATTTAAACTAAAAGGATTAAAACTATGAGTGGATAAAAAATACAAGTTATAAGTTAAGGGAAGAGAAATTCTCACTGCATTCTGAGGATAATTAAGTGCTTAATATAAATCTGGAGTATCTGCCTCCTTAACTCAACAAGGGTGACAGGTGGCAAATAACAGGATCAATAACTGTAAATGTCTGAATGCTTCTACGCATATATTTGATGTCTAAATAACAAGGATAGCCATGGCCACTGTTTCCAGCACTCAGCCCACAGTTCTTACTTACGGCACAACACAATATGTGGCTTGGTCCTGCACAAAAGCATCAAGCAGTTCACATTTGCTGATTTTTTCCTAATTATGACATAAATGTTTAATAATAGGGAATGCATCCGTGATAGCATAAGGGCACTTGCTAGGGGATAGTAAAGTGCCTAGTTGTTTAATAACAGCCATAGCCATTTTTAGTGATGGAAATGTGTGGCCAAAACATCTATAAACAAATGCGAATATAAATTCCTGAAATCCATTGTATTATGTAACATTTGAAAGCATTGTTATCTGTAGATTTTCATTCAAAAGATATGGGGGCCAGTTATAAAGCTTATGTCAGTTCTGTGAAGCACTGTCCATTTTCATTACTGATTAATGTTCTAATGAATGGGCATATCACCAACCTTCTTTGTGCATTTTTGCAAATTAATTTTAAATGTACACTGTTTACTTATGTCATTTTAATGTGTTTTTTTTTTTACTTGTTTTATCTTAGGCTGTCAATTCTGGTCAACTCCAAGCTTTTGACTGGGGCAGTCCTGACCAGAACATGATGCATTTCCATCAGGTAGGTAACACTAATGCTAGTCATAGCCAGTGGCTGTTGCAGTGAGCCTATGAGAACAGCTTCCATTCAAGTATTTAAGTGCTTACTATTCCCTGTTTGCTATGATAGGCATTGCTTATTGGTGCTAGCACATGATGCTTCCTGGGTTTTACCATGTGAGGAGTCATTGTTTCTAATCTCCACAATGTTTACTTGAGGTAAACTTTGTTACCCTCCTTTCCCTAGAGGCTCAAGGAAGCAAATTGCCAAATAACTAGAATATGATCCAAGGAGTTCTGGATCTAAAATTTATTTCTCTATTTTTCTTTCACTAGTCATTCCTTCACAGGAAAAAACAAGCAAACAAATAAGAATGCTCGATATTTCGTTAACACTGTTTTAAAGACAGAATTAGAAAGCATGACCCCATTTCTAAAGCAGAGCTTCATCTAATAACACTGGCATTGCTCTAATAGTCCCTAAGGATGTCTTTTATTACTTTAAAAACCCAATCTGGATCATTTAAGACACATCAATCAGAAATTGCCATCCTTAGGGAAAACTACTATCTAATGGGTAATGGAATATTAAGATATTTCTTGACATCATCTATGAAAATGAATATCTTACACTAAAAACAGTATGTGGTGTTTGGTTACTGTTACTTTTTTCCAACTATGTTGGGAGACCCAAACATCATTTGATTTCCTGATGACAGACAGAGATAAAACATAAAAACATAAGACATTGTCATCAGCTTTTCAAAATTGCAAAGAATAAATAGTATAAACAGAGAGAATTCATATTTTCAATATTTTGAAAAATCTGGTTGTCTTCCCAAACTGCTATAGTTGAATGTGCATGGGCTTGGGTGCAGGGACAGGTATCAAACACATCCTGTCAGGCTGCGATGTTCTTCTGTCAATGACTGCCTTCTGTCTTCCACCAAAAGTTTGTGGTTTCTTTAGGGAGAGTGTTTTAGATCATTATTGTACCTTATGAGCTTAGAGACTTGGATGAAAGTGGAATCAGAGCTATCAACTTCATCTTTGTATTTACAAATAAATAAAAATCATGCATATATGGTGACTGAGGTTCAGATAAGGATACTTTGCTTGAAACTTTTGGTGGAGACTCAAACAGAAGATGAACTATGCATATTTAAAAGGCAGTGGCCTTCAGTCACAACTACACCATAAATTACATGGGTGTAATTACTGACATAAATCACTAGCGATCCTTCATTGCTAAGGAAGTATAATTCTAAATGAATACATACAATTTTGTCACTCTCAACTTAAAAATAAACTAAAAAGTCCTGGCCAAAGTTACCAGATACCATTTAAAGCTGAATATTCACTTCTGATTTGCCATCTTCTTCAATGCCTGCCTCCTTAGCAGAGTAATCATTTCACTGGAGTAAAGGAATTCCAGCTTAAGAGACTTTGGGTCTGGCTTTGTTTCTGAAAGCTTGCCTGTGTCTGTTGATGCCTTCATGCTGCATTGTTTTTTCAGTCTTCATTGTCCTCTAACTTTGCAACTAAGTATTTATGTTTTGTCTCCTGCTTTTAAGGAAACCACAGTCAGGAAAAGCCAGCTCCCTGCCCTTCCCAGTTACACTTTACATTTGGGGCACTGTGCCAGGCCTTCTGGAACCCCTTTCCCCTTGCACACTCGGCAGTCCTAATCTACACTCACTTTCTTCTCTATCTTCTGTGTTGCTTTCTCAGAACTGCCAATTTTACCACATTCCAAGACCCTCCACAAATAGGAGAGACGGGTGATATACTTTTAAGGTTTACAAGCTCAAACACCCAGGCTCCAGCCCACCAACTGAAAGTAACCCTCAACCTGACTATACCAGTGAGCTCTGCCTGAGCATCACTTCTTGAAGAGAACTTGAGATGCACATTCACCTTGTCATCATCTTCCCCAAGCAGAATTCAATTGACCTAAAATTAAAAATCTTTCATGAGTCCTTGGGGTCTTCACTTTTGCCCCTATTACCTCAGTACTAGAAGTATTATGTCCACAGCAAAGGTGCCATCAAGGCTAGACTCTAGTAAGGATTATTTTTCTGGCTTGAAGATGGCTGTCTTCTTAATGTGTAAGAAGGAGAGGGAAAGGGTGGGGAAGGGGGAGGAGGAGGGAGAGAGGAGAGGGAGAGGAAGAGAGAGAGAGAGAGAGAGAGAGAGAGAGAGAGATTTGTATGACCAACTGTTCTGTAGAGTTAAAAGAGATCCATGCTTGGAGCATCATTTATTCTTAACTATGCTCACATTGGAGGTTAGTGATTCCACTTGTGAATTTAAGGAGTATAAATTTTATTCTACAGCATGGATAATCAGAAACTATTTAAAGCAGTCGGTAACTATTCATAGTAGTCAGTTATTCATTTGCAAGAAGCAGAAACTAAGTCCCTTTTAGGAGGAAGGAAGGAAGGAAGGAAGGAAGGAAGGAAGGAAGGAAGGAAGGAAGGAAGGAAGGAAGGAAATGAAGAAAATAAGAAAGAAAGAAAGAAAGAAAGAAAGAAAGAAAGAAAGAAAGAAAGAAAGAAAGAAAGAAAGAAAGAAAGAAAGAAAATAAAGAGAGAGGAAGGAAGGAAGGAAGGAAGGAAGGAAGGAAGGAAGGAAGGAAGGAAGGAAGGAAGGAAGGAAGGAAGGAAAAGAAAGGAAACTCTGGCTTCCTACAGTATCATTCTCCCTCCTCGGTTTTCACAGCTCACTCTCAATTTTGCTCAAAGACTCCTATTTCCAAATTCATTGGCTCTTTCCAAAACAATGCTGGCATTGTGACTTTACCTCACACAGCTCTTGCCATTTTAAAGACAAAGGAAAAGACACATTTTCTCCATAGCTAAGGAGCAAGGTGCCAGAAAGTCTTCTGGTCTAGTTTTAGAGTTGTGTAGAGATGCTACTGAGTCACTGTGGTGGGTCTTTTGGCCACAGAAGGACCAACTGGAATACTTGGTCATTTAGACCAAGGTGTGATCTGGTCATTAAAAAGGGGATTGTGTAAGGGAAAGCTTACTGGGTATTTAGCCCTATAGCACACTATTTCTGTGTACAGATCACTCCCTTCAAACATATTTCAAGGGTTCATTTTCATGTGTTGGTATAAATGTTCTCTGAAAAGCCTGCTGATGCACACGTGTCAAAAAAAGCTGCTGAGCCCAGAATTCTGCACGTGAGACAGACGTTTATCCTGTCCAGCAATTATTGAAAAGGCCACACTGTCGGGTCAGGCTCTATGAGAAAGAGAAACCCTTTTGTTTTAAAGAATCACTCTTCCTCAAGGACTCTTTCCTGTCTGCCC